AAGCCAAGAACAATAAGGAATGGGGAGAAGATCTTTAGTAGGGAAGAATTTTTTATGCGTGGTGTGGATTTTAAAACTAATCTTAAATCCACATGAGTTGTTACTATGGGAATATTTATATAAGAGTTTGTATCATCATCAGCTATTGAGATTTTCTATCAAAAACACAATTATTTTAACTTAGCAGAAAAAGAAAACCATGTCATTCACAAGTTTTAATTTTATAATTAGGAAAAGAAAAGAGTATGATGCTACAGAAAGCTGATTCTAATAGTAATAGATCTAAAGCTTAAAAGTTTTAGCCTAAACTCAGCACAAGTTAAGGTTTTTAAAAAATTGGAAACTGATTACATATCGCTTGAGTTTGATGTAAAACATTACATCATCATGTTTTGCAAAACCTGCACATTATTTTTCAAAGTTTGCATAATAAATTTGTAATGGTGGTGAGGCACAGCAAATTTAGGCTTGCAGTTCTCTCAAACATGAAAAATATATTAACAATGATAGCTGTTGAAAAGCTAAACTTCCATCTGAAAGACCTTAGGCCACACCATTTTATGTTGCTGTCAGAAAAAGAAAGCATAGATTAGTGACAAAGTCACCATGCTATTTAATATAACATATGACATAGTTTGCAACAAGCTCTCTTTCATTGCCCCTTGTTCATTTATCAATTTATGTATTAAATCATTCATTCATTCATTCAATTCAAATCACAATAATTTCTCTGACATTACAATCATTAATTCAATATGCAAGTCCCAAATCCAATTGAAATAATAAAACTGTCTTTGCCTTCTTCAAAATTAAGTTAGCAACTTCAAAACAGGATCAAAGAATGGCAGAACTTAGACATATGCCAAGAGGTTTCTATGAATGATACCACTGAAGCACACAAATACTACATACACTGCTCTCCTTTAGTATGCATTTGCAATATATAAAATATTTATATTTTTCTAAGTTCCAACTTGGAATGTTCCAATCTGTTGAGGTCATGTGTTAAATTTAGCCTAAGGTATTACTTTTTCTTGCTTGACCAGTCAAGAAGCTTATCTGCTATTTCATTGGATAGTCATGTTTGTGTCATATCTGTATATGGAGGAAACCTTGAGACTATCACTTGAAGCAGAGATATTTCCTTATTCCATTGTTTATTTTCAGATTGGTAAGATATAGAACGAATGTGTATTGTTGTGAAGAAGTTTTGGCAGTTTCACATCAGATTTGTTCCAGCTCTTGAGGAAAGCAGTTCATCTTCAGTTTCAGTGGAATAGAACTCACTTGGGAAGACCTTACACTGTGTATTTTTTCCACTAACGCATGCTGATTATGTCATATGGTGTTTTATTCCATTCTTAGATTTAGTTAACTCTTATTCATTCTCCTTATTTAAATACAGTTCAACTTTTTTCATTTATTTACAGTTCTTATATTTGCAATAGTCCTACCACTTGAAGACAAGTTGCCATGTACTTTGCTTCAACAAAGATTTTATGTTTATCTTGATTTCAACATCATGTCTTGTTTTTATCATTTCATCTGTAATAAATCACTACACCTGTCCTTCTATATACTAGATGCACAAATTTCTAATTTTGGGGAAGATCGAGCATCTGTGTGCATCGTTCAGCCCTGAAATTATGAAAATACTAGAGCATGAAGACATCAAGAGAGCTCAAGAAAATTGAAAAGGTCTTGAGATAAAAACCATTTTACCTCCAAAACCTTGATAAAGCACAATAGATGGACCATCTTCAGAAAGCCCTGTTTATTCCATTTAAGAACGTTGAAGAATTTCATCAAGTGCAGAAATGCTGGGCAGAGTGAGGCTCTTCAAACAACTTTTAAAAGATTAGTCCTCACTGCTGTTCTTTAAGTTCATGCAAGATATGTTGGAGGTGCTAAGAATGTTCAACCTTGATCTGCAAGCTGATGAGACATTCCAAAAAATATATTCACAAGCTTATGAAACAGCTTTACACAGGATTACGAAATAACCTGAATAGCCCTCGAGGGAATGACACCTTGTTCTGATGCAAAACTGACTAGTTCTATTGACTGTCTTTAAAACATTCAAGGACAGTTTAAGAACTATGCTTTGATTCATTATGTTGATGTAGACACCATATTCTTTTTTTTAAAGAAAAAACAGAAATGAGCAGCCTGCTCAACTACCAAAACAACAGATTTCATGAACTATAATCTCACCCTGTTCTGAATGCAGTCTGAATTCTTGATACTCAAGAGTAACCAAAGAAAATCCAACATTTGTTCTTTTTTGGTAAGAAAAAGATAAAATAGCAAGCAAACAATTTTTGTAAACTTCAGAGACAGCTTGTGTGGGTAATGAAGGAAAATGTATTACAAGTTTAACATAGTAACAAATCTACAATGTTTCGGTAAGGTTTTTTCATCATCCAGTACAGATAGTTTACATAGACACAGGAACTTATATTCAGTATGGAACAATGAGGTAGCAACCAGAGACTGCTTAACCAATTACAGTATTTTGGCACTTGTGTATAAAGTTAAAATCATAAATAATATTCAACATTAAACTGGTACACAATTAAAAACAATTTATTTAGGCCTATCTAGGGCCTTCAAAAAGTTGACGACTCTACATATTTCGAAGTTACAACGTCATCCTCAGGAGTTAATTACAAGACAATTGCCAAAGTATTTATAGCTTGTTAGTAGGTCATTGACCTGTATGTTATTTTTCATACATTCATGCTAAACCATTTAAAGGAGATCAATCCACATTCTTGCAGAAATATTCCCCAAATCTTTATCTGTATTTAATACTACATGATCTTTTTTGTGTTTTATTATTTCTAACATTATTTCTGTAAGGGCTTGTATTATGAAGAAAGAAGCTTGTTGTTGAATGGCTAAAGCAAAAATATGTAATTTTGGAATAGAATATAAAAACATTAACCTTTGCAAGATTCTTAACTAGGATCATTCTTACTTGAAAGTTGGTTGAAATCAAGAGAATATCAACACGCAGAAAAATTCTTAACTGAAAGAATAAATGTGTTGCATCTTAACTGTATTGATTTATGCAGTATATAACTGGTATAAAATATCACTCACACACTTTAAAATAACCATTTAAGCAATGCATCATACAAAACTTAAGTGGAAATTATATTTCAGAATGGTTAAATTTTACTTGTACTTCAAACCAAGCACAGTACAGCTAATACATATATCTTAAGTATTATTTACAGAATAAAATATAAACAAAGAGAGAGAGATTGGCTTCATTAGGGTTCACATTATCATTAAAGCATAATTATATTTGGTCGTAGCAATATCACAAAGATCACATTGCTTATGAACAAAATGCCACTCGTATTACTATACTTTGCCAAGAAGTAATACTGTTTTTACACACAGTTCAATATTACTAATGTCATAAGTGATTTACTTATAGGACAGATATTAACTGTTACAAAAGATATAGAAGCAACAATGCTAGATAAATAAATTACTATAATATTTAAAGTGTGCTGGCAGATATAAAACTGACCTTGATACTAGGAACTTTAAACAACTCAGACAACACATAGTTCATATCCACCAAGTCACTCCAGGAAAATATGTTCATCAATCTGTGAAAATAATTAATACAACATCATATACTTATTTGCATTTCTTGAGAACAGTGAACATGTGTAACTTCCTTCAATAATCTCAAGTTTTACCACAAGAAAACAACAACAACTTTGGTAATGTTACGAAAAGATTAATAAGTCTGAATGTTTCAGTGTTGTCAAATTTCCACTTTTTTTCTAAATAGTAGCTTTTAGAGTTAAAAACCTTTCATAAATTTTAGTTACTCTTAAATTTTCTCCTCTTGCCAAAATACACAGATCAGACAACCTAATATTCACTACCATGTTTAGTTAACAAATGATATTGTTAGTCAATTAAAGCACATACGCAACATGCCGTCATCAGGATAGTAATCCATTCTACTTCTAAGTTTATCTCATATATACCAGAGCAACATAAAATAGAGATGGTTTCGTTTTACTTTTGAAAGTAGGGTAGTTTCCAGGCACCAAGTTTCAAAAACGTGATACAATACTACAAATAGAAAAGTTTGAGATTCAGTAACAACTTCTGTACAATACTTAAAAAAAAAGAAAAAAGGTAAAAAGTTTTATGTGTACACAAACCTAAACATACACACACACACAAAAAAGAGGTTTGTATCCAAATACAAGTTAAACATTAAATCAGAGGTTTTAACTTTATCTTTAAAGTAGGATTGTCACAAGTTTTCATTGCTACAATTTTAATACCAAATTCTAGAGCAAAACCTGGTTCTAATTAAGAAAAAATGATTACAGTTATATCAATGCCTCTACAGTCATGTCAATACTTAATACAAGGAAGGAATTTTAGAAGTAAAAAAGTTGTTTCTTAGTCTTAGCAGAAACACAAAAACAAAACAGACACGATGTGCAAGTTTTGAGCTGTAAAAAAAGAAATCCAAACCAAAATTTTCAAAACTTCAATTTTTACTTATTACTTTGTCTCCTGTACCACTCACCCTTTTTTATCATAGTCCATCTGCTGTAACCACTTTACAACTTCATCTTGATGCGTATTTACATGCATATCGTCAAGTTTATGCTCTATGTAAGATGGCTTTACATTACTCATGATCATGTTTTTCTGAGTTCCTGTGACTTCCTTGAAGTACTTTCGTGTATTAACAATCACCTCAGAGAGTTGAATCTGTATGAAGAATTTATATAAAAGTTATTTATCTGAGAATAAAACTGTCAGGCAACAAACACAAGCTTTTACCTCAAAATACGTAAATAAGTTTGATATGAAAATTTAATTTTGTAGTCATCCCTGCTTAGAAATAGAAAAACCAGTAAATAAATCAACACAATGGTAATATTAGGAATTTCTACTCAATATTTCTTTTTTAATATGTTTAAACTTACTGGTATGTCAAAAAACCAAAATTATAATCCACATACACAACAAAGGAAAAACAAACATAACATAAATTTGATATTTTGAGTGTCACAAGGTGACAAAACTCGTGTGTGTTCAAGTCTTTTTGAACTAATACACAGTGGTATTTTAATAACAACTGTCATATGTACTATGTTGTACACAAACAAACATACAGAATTTGTAAAAGCCCTTATACACAATAAATGCACACACACACAATGGTGTGCCATAGCAAGTCTTCAATAAAGGCATTAAGGATATTAATCTGTGCTGTTGAATTTCATGCAACTATTTTTTTTATGCTTACATGCAATGAAAATAGTAGCGAGAATTTCAAACATTTAAATTGATTCAATGTTCATGCAAAAGCAGCTCAATCATGAAGAAATGATCACTGTATTTTAATTTCCTATTACTGGAGAATTTGCTATGGCCTACTCTGTATATGTATGCATCTATATAGAGTTAAAAAAAAATCTACCAATTTATTGCAATTAACTTTTTTTTTTTATATATTTGCCTGCTTTACTGAAATTTCGTTTTCAGTTGTTTCATAATTATATATGATTTGTACATACAAAAATGTCATAATACACTTAAGAGTATTCAGAAAAGAGATTCAGCAGGTGCTTAACATAGACATGCAGAGTAACTGAAACATTTTATAACTGCTAACTGTTCACTAAAACTTTTTTTTAAGTTCAAAACAAAACCATTTCTCTTAGATTTTCTTTATTTCAAGCCCCTTTATCTAGAATAATGCAAAAAATAAATATGAACCATTTCTGAGCAACAACAACTATCTTTGATAGAATTACCACATACCAGTACTTGAGGTCGGCCCAATGCCGTCATTTTGATTGCTGCCAGACCTGTGCTCTTAGTGGCCCCTGAGAGTTGATGAGAAACAAAGAAATGGCATACACATAAGTGAATAAAACCTTTGGAAAATCATCATTGTGTTCTAACTCCACCATTTGCTGTGCCGAGTCCATCCATGCTCTCACATCCACACACTTAAAGATTGAAGAGAAAAGTTATAATTACCATAAATCCTTTAATTATGAACCCTATCTGTATTAAGTACCAGGAGAGAGAGTCCAACTCCTCCAAAATCAATACTACATGCATGAATTCAGCACACAGCAGAAACGTGCATGAATTGTTACAGTGACCATCATATATTGGGAATATGCAAGTAAATATTCCTTGGCAAGCATAGGCAATACGTGGATGGTGTAAAAGAAAATTCCTAGAATGTTTGTTATTTTATAAACTTTTGCTAAAAGTATGATAAGTTGTGAATAGTATGAAATCTGAATATTGACTACATAGTAGATTAACAGAATAATTCATTATGAGAAACATAAATGGGCTTGGGTGTTTTTCTTTTGTTGTACATGCTAGTTTTTTCCATTTATCTTTTTCCCTCTCTTACCAGCAATTTGAATAGTATTTTAAAAAAGTTTCTATATATAATGATTTAAATAAACAAAAACAGAAATAACAAGAAAAAGAGTACATGTCTTTCACTTTAAACTCGTGTGTTAAAGAACTTGATCAACTCCTCCCCTCATTAGGTAAAAAAACTAGAAGACGAACAAGAATGCATATATTAATTTACTGTCCTATTATGATTATGTGGCTTACTCCTAAAGAAGAATTGTTAACTATTTGAAAATTCTTGAGTTTCTGGCTCTTTTGAAATCTACACAATTTTTTTTTTTTTTGTGATCCTTTGTTCCAATTCTTTCACAATAACAAATTTTAATACAGCTATAGAAGAAATAATATTAAGCATGGAAAGATAAATTACAAAGGCCGCAGAAATAAGAAAATGGGATCTGGATTTCCTAATTATATTACCTAGGTTTCATAAACCCTACAGATTTCAAGTAGTGTAAGGGGTGGGTAATGTCAGAGGAGGAAAATGATTCAGTTTAAAATATGAAAATATTTTATCACCACTGCAGGAAAACAGTGTATTTGGTTACTAAACAAGTTCAGTCAACTTTTGCACTAAAACTAGTAATAAGCTTACACAACGTGCGTTACTGCTTATGCAATTGGTGAGAGCATAATGTCTAACAGACCAAATTCCAAATATTCAAACACACAATTTAAAAAAACAACTGAAAAGTAACTTACTTATTCCATATTATGAAATCTAAATTTGAAGGTACATATTTACTGTATTTCCTCAGTTAGTTTATTTTTTCAAGCACTTCTGCTATCTCAGAAGCAAGCTGTATGATTTAGCCTTTTCAGCACAATCTCCCACTAAATCACATTACATACATGCAGGTTACCATAGCATCATTATGAAAAGCTACTTATGAAGGAGGTAAAACTGGGAACAATAGCCTATTCATCATCTGGTATAGTAAAAATAGTTAACATTAGAACCACCAAAGCAGAATGTGGCCTCATCATCTTTTTAAGCACATTTTTCTAAACTATTTATGCTCCAAATTTCTTAAAAGTCCATGACTTTGTTGGTTACAGGATCTTTAATAACACGAGTCATACAAAAATACCATCAATATTGCAATTAATCCCACTAATTACTCATTGTGGTAATTTTTGTCGAAAAATGAGTGATTTTGATCAATTTTTAGTCAGTTCTTTAAACTAATTGTTTTTGCAATACAAAATCATAAAAACTATTCAATGTGTTCAAACATCTGAAAGTCAATCGTGGTATAAAAACAGATTGGTAATTTTAGGGTTAAAGAAAAAAAGGCTTACTGCGTACAAGTAAAATGTATGAGAAAATAAAAGGAGTTATTTTTTTTTACTCTGGGGGTAATTATGCAGCAATCTAAAAATTTAAATATTAGAAATAAAGAACTACATTACAGACATGAACAAACAAAGAACTATAGTTTCTTTCATATATAATATACTGATGGTATTGAGTACAAGTATAGAATATTCTTCACCCAGGGCTTTAATGTCAGTTTTAAATAGAAAATAAACACTAAACAATAAGTTGTTATAGTGTGAACAACATTTTGAAGCTGGTAAAACATGATTATAATAAATTTACTTGTCATTACACATTAGTATTAAGCCTATTATATTTTTAACATTTAATTCTATATTTAGTCCCTTATTATACACTTTAATAATTTCTGAAATTTTCTATGTGACTAGATATCAAATGCAGCACTAAAAAAATACAGTAGGCCTAGTACTAATGTATTGCGATAAGTAAATTTATATCAACAAATGCTTTATACATACTTCTCAGTTCATATTGTAGTTTACTCTGATCTTAACACACATGAAATAAGTGTCTAAATATGTAAATTGCATCTTATATATCTAAAAACAAATCTTAATAAAAGGCCTAACAGTCCATCTTAGCACCTACTAAAAGTATTTAAAACTTCTCACACGCTGAGCTAA